TTCATCACTAAATCTTCTTCTCCAAGAGCACTATTCTAGGTTGAAACATGGTGCCTGGTGTATCAGTTTCACTTTTTTCTTGAAGACACCCCCACTGGATCCCCTTTTACCCCTGTTACAATCTGGTCTGGTTGCTGTCCAGGCCAGCTGCCCGCTGTCAACCTTGGATCCTTGAACTCCGTGAAGAGGTTCGAAAATGTGTCTGTTCCTGTCTTTCCTAGTATCGGTCACATTCTTGTCAACTCAGCACAAAAGGATTTACCAGAAAGCTAAAGGAACTCAGAATCAATGGAGGTTAGGACAGTAGGGAACAAAGGGGCTCTGGAGGCTGAATGTTATCTGTCCAGGATGCCTTGACTGCTGTTGACACTCACTGTGAACATCCTGGCTTTACTTACTTGGAATTCAAAGTGCTGGGCAGAAGTATCTAATTTGCCAAATTTGCCTGGTTAGGTGTGGGAGAGCAGAGGGCACAAAGCAGGGTGGCAGAAGGGCTGAGAAAAGTTAGGCCACCTTTGGAAGGAGGAGACTTCCTGCCTTCCTGCTACCCAGGGAGTAAGCCAGCTGGAGAGGAATCCCCTGGTCTGCCTGATCACCTGAGAAAGGTGACACACTGGATCCATTGACAAGAAGCCCACCTTCCAGATTATCTGACACTTGTTAAAAATCTGTTGGTCAAGGTGGAGGTGGAGTTGGGTGCAAAGATGAATAAGATCCATCTTCTCCCCAAGGGAGCTCATACCAGACATTTTTAAAAATAACAAAAATAGCTAATACTAATTGAACACTTTGCAAAGTGTTAGACACTGATCTTCCACACTTACTAATAACTAACCAAATGTTTTTAACAACCTAAGAGACAAATGCTATTATTAGCTCCATTTGACTTCTGGGAAAAATGAGGCACAGAGAGCTCTAGTAGCCTGCTCTAGATCACACAGTAAGTCAGTTGCTTGCTAGGATCCACACTCAGGCAGTCTGTTGTCAGAGCTCCTGCATTTAGCCCTCACCCTATCCAACTCCAGGGCCATCTCCCATGGCCAACACATGCAGCAGCTTAAATCCTGCCCTGACTCCTTGTCAGAAGGTTGTTAGGCTTTGTAAACTCACTGGGTACCAAAGTATGCTCTAGGATATTGCCATTGTCATTTCCCTGTTCTGCCTTCCACAGTTACATCATTAACCTGGGTCCTCATGGTCTCATCCTACAGAAACTTCAAGCTCCTCTGACTCTCTCATTTCATAGTCTTTGGAGTGTCTTTCACAAGGCAAGTGCTCAGATGTTTTTGCAGTTTGGTGGGTTGGTGGAGGATGCTATCATTTCCCCAGGTTTCTGTGAAATGAACAAAGTGTTCTCAGTCTGTGCATTGGAATTACGAGGAATTAACAACTACGATGCCCAGACCCCACCCCTACAGGTTCTGATAAAATTGATCTAATATGTAGTCTGAACATGGCATATTCCCTGCATTGACACAATTTTAGTAATTTTGGAAATGTCAAGTGAGGGCAGACAGTGGGGGAAGTAGAAAAAGCTTGGGTTTTGGAGCTGGGCAGGCAAGGTTCACATCACAGCTTAATAACTTACAAGTTGGATGAGTTTGGTCAAATCAACTTCCCCACATCTCAGTTACCTCGTCTGTAAAAGGGAAGAATAATATTCACCTTAAAGTAAAGCACTTGACATGAAATAAAGCACTGGGAAGACGTAAGTTAGAAGAAACGTAGTATGTGGCAGCTATTAAAATTAATTATGCATTTGCCTGTCCAATATGTGATTATTCAGTATCTCCCAAGCACCAGGCACTTGGATGCTCTTGGGGGACAATAGAAAACATGACATGTATGGTCTCTTTCCTTTTGGCATTTATATTCTTGCAATTCAATTTAACAAACTTTTATTAGGTTTGGGATATCAAGCACTCTGTGGCTTCAAAATGAACAAAATATTGTTTTGCCGTGAAGAAAAGAAAAGTAGACACTAATCATAACTAAATTAGAGAAGGAGGAATGGCAAGAGAGGTGCAAACCAGAGCGGTGGGGTTGAGAGGAGAGAGGCATTTAGAGGGCAGATCATGGAAATTTCCATGGAAAACAGGATACTGCAGAGGGCCCTCAAAGAATAGAGAGGATTTTGTAGGATGATGTTGGGAACTGCTTGAACAAAAGCATGGAGGTAGGAATAGTAAGAAATCCAACCTGGCAAAGGAGCTGGATGGGCACATACATGAACAAAGATACATAAGCAGGAAAATGCAGGTAGGGACCTTACATGCCAGGGCGAGGCATTGGACTCTATTTGTTCAGCTATGCGAACCACACAGGAGTTGGAGCTTAATTATATTGTTCTTAGCTCTTAATACCTGGACCTCCGCTGGCTTCATTCTGCAGTAGGTATCTTTGGTGCTGCTATCTTTGAGCCTCCCTTTCCCTCTCTACTGCTACCTTAGTCCCAAATGTTCAGTGCTCAGTGTCCTGTTTCTGCCCTCAGGTGAGAATCTGATGAATCTCAGCCTCAGGCATAAAATGCAACTCCAAATAGCAAATGCATGTTGGCAGGTACAATGGAACAACCGTGAGACTGAATCTGGAGGAGACCTTGTTCTAATCTTAGCTCTGCTTCTCACCATCTGTGTGGTCTTGGGCCAGTGACTGCCCTTCTCTGAGCATCAGTTTCCTCATCTGAAAAAAGACTGGGATGGATGGGTTGACTGACAATGACCCTTTGAGCTACAATGTTCTCTGACTAATTTGCCAACTGCCAAATTCAAGAATGTCTGCTTTGACTCAGGTAAGGGGATGTTACTGCTGAAAATTAGTTATGGCACATGAGGCTTAGGGGAGAGAGGTGGAGCAGTTACCTCCAGGTAGGTGCTCAGCAGTGTCAACTGAGTTCATGCTTGAACTCATTGCAGCCCAGGCACTGGACATGATGCTTCCAGATGATTCTAGCCCCCAGCCATCTAAGTCACTGCCAGGCAATCTAGACTTCCCTGTTGAAGTCAAATGTTGTGGAACAGAGATAAGCCCCCTACACTGAGCTGTCTGAATTCTTGACTCTCAGAATGCCTTAATATAATGAAATCATTGTTTTGTAAAACCAAGGTTGAAATGGTTTGTTATATAGCAATAGATAACTGGAAATGGGGGAGCAGGTGTCAGGGATGGTTGGAGGGTGAGGGGCCTCCCTCTGCAGGAAAGACCTCATTAGTGGGTATTCTTCCCCTCTGCCCACTGACTTCAGAAGCTGCCTCTGAGGTGGATGTTATCCCACATAGCATGGTGCTCTCAGGACAGGTTCAGAGCCTACCCTGTCCTGGAATGTTGTACAGAAGCTCTGGATCTTCCAAGAGGCTGAGTCACTGCTTGCTGTGGGGCAGGATCTATGTGTATCTGTCAGAATCCCAGTGTCCAAAAGGCTAAAGCGGCTGGGCATGGTGGCGTACCTGCAATCCCAGTGGCTCTGGAGGCTGAGGCAGGAGGATCTTGAGTTAAAGGCAGCCTCAACAAAAGTGAGGCACTAAGTAACTCAGTGAGACCCTGTCTCTAAATAAAATAAAATTAAAAAAAAATAGGATCAGGGATGTGGCTCAGTGGTCAAGTGCTCCCTTAGTTCAATCCCTGGTACCTTGCCCCCCAAACAAGGCTAAAGTTGGGACAGTAGGTGCACATTGGTAAAGCTCCTCTAAGTGCATCTTACTTTCCCATTCTGGCACCACAGTAGCTCCCCTGGAAACTACTAAAAGGGATGTTTCTCCCACTTCACTGATGAAGAAAGAGCCACTCAAAGACCACACATAGGGAGGGCAGAATATGGCTTTGAGCTAGGCCATAGGACTCTGCATCTAACACTCAGCTCTCTGGGGGAGCCCCATTGGTGATCTAGCAATAAAAGCTCTGGGAAGGAGACGCAGACTTTGTTTTCTTCTGCTAATAGGATTCTTGTCTTGAAATAAGACCACTGAACTTGGTTTAGCTTGTTTCCATTTCCTTTCTCCCATCACCTCCTCCACTATAATTTATTTTTTCCTTTGGAAAGAAGAAAGAGAGGAAGAATCCACTCCCAAGTCTTTTATTAGGAAAATAAATTTGGTGATGTGGGGGTTTCACTAGCAGTGTCAGGACTAGGGCTGCAAAGGGCAATGAGCCGGGAACCTCCCAAACTGGGTGGGGGCAGTTGAGGAAGGGAGTGTTCCCATCACAGCTGCTACCCTGCTGTGAGACGTGGGCGGTGAGGTTCCCAGAAGAATCTGTGCGAAATCAGGGAATACTCTGGGTGCAGGGGCTGGGCAGGGGTTGGAGTGAGGCAGGGGTGCCTGGAAATGCTGTTTTCTGAGCAGTTGGCCAGACTATGTAGTACACCTATTAGTTCATTTAAGTCAAACAGACAAGACTCGAGGGTTAGCTGACTTGCCCAAGGCTGCCCAGTAAGTAAAGGGCAAGAGTGGGAAAGGACACTCTGATGTCACCTCTTGCTGGGTCTCTTGGGAGCCTCAGAGCCCTGAGGTGACCTCGGGGAACAGTAGGAGGGCTTTAGGCCCTCACAGCAGGGCGGCCGGGAGGGGGTTCCCAGCAGGGGGCGCCCAGAACCCGGGCCGCCTGCCCGGCGCGCCTCCAGCCGGCGCCTGGGACAGGGCCGGCCGCTCCGCCCCCTCGGCTCCTCCACCTCTGCCGGCCGGCACTGGGCGCTGTGTTAGAAGAGTGGAGCTGGGCGCCGGTAACCCCGCCGCGCCCCGTCCCGTCGTGCTCGCTGCGGCCGCCGCTTCGCAGCCTCCAGCCGTGAGTAGCGCTGGTCTGCGGGCTCGACGGGCGGGACCGGGCACCCAGGCAGCCCGACGGCAGCAGCGCGTGGCTGGGTCCGACGGGGCAGAGTCCCGGGGCGCTCTTTCGTGGATCCCTGACGCCGGCCCGGGGTATGGCCGGCAGTGCCCTGGGCATTGTGTCCGGGATCAGGTCGCCAATCTGCACGCTGCTACCCCAGGCGCGCTCGGGAGCCTGACAGGCTGGGGCGGCCAGTAGAGGCCTGGCGCGGATGGGGGGCAGACTTCCATCAAGTTAAGCCCCCTCAAAAGGGAAGAGCATGCTCGGGAGGAGAGAGGCCGAGGTTCTCTGCTTCTATTGTCTTTCACATCTCTTGTGCCCGCAGCCCAGGATTTGATGCGAGGAGGGTGCTCAGTACGTCGGGAGCTACGGGCCCCTGCTTCAGGAGCCCCGCTCGGGGCAGCACTAGGGTGCGCAGAGCTCAGCTGCGCGTGGAGGCAGCCAGCGGGTTTTCTGCACGCTGGGGTGGAAGGGCATTGCCAAGGCTTGGCCTGGACTCTGGACAGGCATTGTGGATATCTCACAGCGTATCTTGGTTTGTCTAACCCTCACTGTAACGCTGCAAGGTGGAAATGAGTTTTGGCTTTATAAGGACAGGACGAGCTCTAGTGGCGTGAGCTGCTTTGAAGCCATGCGGGTAGTGGTAAGTTAGGGGTGCACAAGGAATGCACACTGGAGAGGGCACTATAGCTGGCTGCCCCAGGCAGATGAAGCACAGCCCCTGGCACCCTGTACTCTAAACTCCAGTGGAGGGCAGCTGGGGGTTGCTGTTCTGGTTTCTGACACTGTTTCCCAACTGCCTCTGCGTAATTTCTGGGGACTGTTGACTGAGCGGTGCTGGTGTCATGGCAACTTCATGGTTACTTTAGAGCCGTTTCCCCCCATATTCCCCAAGATGTGTTTCAGCACCTAAAGTGACCCCACTGATAATTCAGAACCTTCCTGCAGGGCTTGGATAGAGGTTCAGGAGTGTGTGGATGAGGGTGGACATCTGCTGTGCTGGGACAAGTTTCTGATCCTGATGGCCTCCCTGAAACCTCTCTATTTGTTAGATGAGAAGATGAACAAGCAAAGCCAGATCTTTACCAGGAGTTTTTCTCGTGTCAGCTTAGGCAGGTGGCTGACCTCTTGTGCCCCAACTTCCTCATCAGGGATTGTGGTGGGTCAAAGCCAGGAGTGGCTAGAAGAGCTCTGTAATCCCCCCCCCCTCTTTTTGGCAGCCTCCCCACAGCATGAATGTGGTGATTCCTAATGTGGGTGTGTATAAGTGGACAGTCGTTTGTGTTTGACCCAAACCACTGCCTGTCCCTGCCATGGTCCCATATCTGTCACTTACTGGGTGAGGTATTCAGAGAGCTTACTTTGTAGAGTGAACTATGGACAGTGGGGGAGAGGGCTTTGTGAATGTGAGGTGATTTTTCAGGCTTGAACATCTCCTAGGTTGTACCCCAGGAGGTCACTGACTTCCCAGCCCCACACCACCCTTGGAGGGGCTGGATGGTTATCAACAGAAGCCTTGAGAAGTTCAGTGGGCTAGCTGTGTGACTGTTGGTAAGTCCCTTCCCCTGTCTGGACCTCAGTTTCCTCCTTTTGTCAAACAAGTGGCTTAGACCAGACATCAGTGGTTTCAAACTTCTGTTTCACAGTGAGTTTTTACCCAGAATCCCAGAGTGTATCACAGAGAGTGTGAAACTGCTCTGGCCCCACTTTGTCACCTTGTTGGCTACTGAAGCAGAGGCTAAAAATTCCTGAATACCAACATATCTGTGAGGTCCCTTTCTGTGGGGTCCTAGGAAATCTGTTAGCATCCCAGGGTTTTGCCTGGTATTGAGGTGGTGGGCAGGAATGTGAATTCCAAGGACCCTATTAAGAGAAATGTGGGCACTAAGATGAGTCTCATCCTTTGAATGTCTGGAACTAATGACCTGTGCCTCTGGCCAAAAGTTGTAGCCATGTCTCTCCCCTCTGCCATGTGGTTTCAGCTTTTCAGGGTTAGAAAGATGCCTGTCCTAGATGGTGACAATAATTCTACCTCAGAGTTTCTCTACTTTAGTTGCATACTTCTACACTGGTCAAGTGCAGTCAATTTGGGGGAGGTATTAGGAAAGCGCTTTAAGCTGTTACCAGTTTTTTACTGTATGAGCTATGTCCTTGAGAAAGGAGGCTGGGGCACTAAATGCAAACCAACCAACATTTGTGGTGTGTCTGCTATAGACTAGCTACTACGAGGGACTCGTGGGGCTCCAAGACAATAGGCAGGAGGGGAGAAACTCACATATTGGAATTGTCCAGGGACCATTTCAAACATTTCACATCTTACTTGTCCCATAAAGTAGAAGTTAATCTAATTTTTAAAATTTTATAAAGTTTTGATTGCAATTGAAAAACATATACATACACATTACCATATGGATGTATGTCCACCTTACCATACATATATGTCCACATTACCATCACCCAGCTTGAGAACCAACATTGCCAGCACCCAGAAATCTCCCATGTCCCCTTCTAGTCACAACCTCCCACCCAGGTGGAACCATTGTTCTGACTTCTAGCTCCATGGGTTAGTTTTGCCTAAATGAAACCATACACTATATAATCTTTTATATTTGGCTTCTCTTATTCAACATGTTTGTTTATGAGATTCAACTTTATTGTTGCAGGTAGCAGTAGTTTGTTAATTCTCCTTGTATGATTCCATTGTATGGATATATCTGAATTTATCTATCCATTCTTCTCTTGGTAATTATTTGGTTGCTTCCAATTTTTAGTTATTCCTAATAGTGCTGCTATGAATATTCAAACATGGACTATTCTGGAAAATAGCTGTGTGCATTCCATATATATGTATGTGTGTGTGT